GTCCAGAAGCCTTCTTCCTTTTCTTATTTTGTGGTGCCTCCTCAACAATGTTTGCCCCCACAATTGTTGAGTTTCCACATGACTTCTTTTTAACATTTTTGTTGTCTTCTTCTATCCTCAGATGAACAATCAAGTCTTCTAGTGTCATTTCCTTCCGCTTGTGTTTAAGATAGTTCTTAAAATCCTTCCACAACGGAGGTAATTTCTCAATGAAAGCAGCGACTTGAAAGGCCTCATTTATGACCATACCTTCAATAACAAACTCATAATTAGTAATAAGATAAATCTTATTAATAAAATTATTGATTCGGGTCATACCTTCAGCAAGGAGGTCATGCACAATGACTTGTAATTCTTGGACTTGGGTTATGACTGACCTAGTATCAATCATCTTGAAATCCAAAAACCTTGCAGCCACGAACTTCTTAAGTCCGGCATCCTCAGTCTTGTACTTCTTCTCAAGTGCATTCCATAACGCTTTTGAAGTTTCCATGACACTATAGACATTGTACAAGCCATCTTCCAAACAACTCAATATGTAGTTTTTGCACAAGAAATCAGAATGTTTCCATGCTTCAGTTACAACAAGTCGTTCATCATCCGGAGTATTCTCAGCCATGACCGGAGGATCCTCCTTGATGAAACGTTGCAAACTCAACATAGTAAGATAGAAGAGCATCTTTATTTGCCAGCGTTTGAAGTCAATACCGGAAAACTTTTTGGGTTTTTCTGCCGGTGCCATAGCATGAGCAGGAGTAGAACGGCTTGACGAGGCAGCAACACTCGTAACAGTAGCACCAGTTCCCGCAATACTTCCATTAGTTTGGTTTTCATTCGTCATATTTCTGTAAAGTTGAAAACAATACAGAACTTGTTAAATCAGTGAAGTTTTGATATCTTCAAACTGAATACCAAACCAAACATAGAACACGTAACAGTGGTGAAGTTTATATATACTTCAAATCCGTACGTTTATTATTCCGGCAAAGTTTTTATGTACTTTAAACCGGACAGAAACAATTATAGGAGTAGAAAGCAACAAGGCTTTAGTCTCCAACAAAGTATATAGAAAACAGTTTAATAATCAACACAGAAACGTTAGTAATAAAATTCCTTAAGCTTGTGAGCGTTACTGTGTTAAAACAAAAATCAGAAAACTGTTAGAAGAATAAAGAAATGTATAAAATAGTAAAGAATCAGAAATATTCCGAGTCCACAATTTTCTTGTGCGTCCTTAAGGAATTTTAACTCCCTCACACGTTGCCAAGGTAATGGATTAAATCCTTCCAGGATAAAACGGAATAAACCTTCCTGCAACAGTGGCAATCCAAAGCCGAAGTCGAAGTCGAAGCCGAAGCCGAAACCGAAGCTGAAGCCGAGCGAGCGACGACGACGCGAGGGTTCATTCTCTTCAACTCCTTTTAAGAGCTTTAAGAAGTGAATCTATATATAAGCACACAAATGTGATTGTCCCTCACCAATGAGGGACAAAGTGCAAAACAAAAGTTCACTTCTTCAAATTTTTATTTTCCCTCCATTTTATTTCTCTTCATTTTCAATTCACACTTCTTTCTATTCGAATAATGCATAACTGAAGTTGAATGAAATGCTTATTAATTAATACAGGTGCATTAGAAAAAGTACTAATCAACATAAGAGATGCATATATAGGACAAAAGAAGGTTAGGCGATTCCACATTTGTATAAGTTTTTGTGCAATTATTAAAAATACCCTTAAATTAAGAAAGTGGCTTTGCATAGTAAATTAATTCTTTTTCTTTAGAGATAAACTTGGTGCATTCATGATCTCTCGTTCCCATAATCACGGACTAGGGTAGGAAAGTGGCTATGATCTGACAATTTTTTTATTATATATAAATCAATCATGCATAATTTATGACCAAACATATACGTGAAAAGACTTGTTTAAAACTTTTTCATTATTACTATTGCCCTTTCAAGAAACTAATCATGCCTATGCTATTGTTTTTTTTATATTTTTTTAAATTTCAAAAGTAAAAGTAGATGTAACAGGAGTAGGAAGGAAAGGACGGATGACGTGGATAAGATGTGGAGCTTGGTCATCCTTCATGCAGTTTAGAAGAAGAATTTACACAAGAGTTTAAATATTGTTTATACTACTAATATAGTTTGAACTTAGAGTTCATTATTCAAATGGTCACTTAATTATCCCAAATTATATTCGAAATTCACTTCTTTTTTTGTAATAACAAGGTTACTGAACTATGCCTACGGCACTCAAAAGGTCACTCAACTAGATTTTTCAAATTTTAGATTGACAAATACCTATTTTACCCTTTAAATTATAAATATTTATCTTTTTTATTTTTTTAAACTTTCTGAATGCAATAGGCACAATTCAGTGAAACTCATGTAGGAATTTGACAATCTAAAATTTGGAAAATCTAGTTGAGTGACCTTCTGAATGCAATAGGCACAATTCAGTGATCTTGTTGTTACAAATGAAAGAAAAGTGACTTTAGGATCGTTTAGGAGATAATAAGTTAATTATAAAAATAATTTTTTACAGTATTGACGTGTAACTTAAAGTTGAAGAAACATTGAGGGATCAGAAGTTCCTCTCACAATGTGACTGGGAACTGAGCAAGAGAGGCTTCCACTTACATGAGTTTTACGCGTGCGGTGTGGATATAGATTAATCGAGTTTATCACAGGTACTGAACATAGGATAAAAAAAAAGAATTGGGCGAGTGAAGACAAGTTGAGAGAACGAGATGGTTGGATTGATAGAAATAGATATGTCCTCCGCTGTGTGAACCTATTTGACTGGACATGAAGTTTAAGGAAAAATGAAGATTTTTAAAATTTGTGGTCCTAAACAAGTTAAAAAAAATTCTGAATATTTATGTGATTATAAAAATTTCTAATTATAATAAAATTGAAAGTTTAAACTAAATTATTTTTAAATTTAAAAAAAGATTATTCTTTTTAAAATAGACCAAAAAGAAAATATGTTCAAATAAATTGAAACTGTGGTAGCTTGAAGAAGCAATCATCATTGGTAAGAACCAGATTATACTGTGTAAGGGGCCACCAGGATTCCATAAAGGTTGTACATGTCACTCCATCCTTTCAAAAGGTTCTAAAAATCTCCGAGAAACTCTTTATTTCTTTTAACCTTTGCTCTTTGCCCCCTCTCATATTGCCATACCCCAAGATTTCACTATCATTGGTATTTTGAACGGAAATTACGATATACTCTCAATTTTGAACTCTCACTTTGTCCAATATCTACTTTGATCTAGTACCATACCCCTTGGCCCATTCTTTCGCTGCTCTTTTTTACTTGCTTTTCTTTCTAACCTTTTGTAAAATTCTATGTTGAAGTTATTTAGGGCCTGTTTGACAATAAAACATTCACTTTTTTCGTTTTTTTTCCTTTTTTTTAAGAATCAATGTTTGATCATAAAAATTCTAAATCCAGAATTTTTCGGAATTTTAAAAAACTCCAAAAAACTTTTTCTCATAATTTTCACTCCAAATCACTCACAAAAGTTCAAAAATAACTCTAACTTGTATTCATGTCCAAACACAACTTCAATTTTTAAATACCATTTTCAACTTCAAATAATTTTTTTCCCCGGAATTTCACAAATCTTATATCCAAAAGCCCACTTAGTTTTTCACTTTTTTGGATTTTTCAATGTTGATGTGGTTTGTCTTTAAAATTCAAAATCAAAGGGCTAAAGTAAATCCTACTCTATTATGTTTTGGTGGGAGCACACTGATTATTAAGCTATGTTTGGATATAAATTTGGTTGAAAATTGAAAAAAAAAATTGAAATTGAAATTTTGTTAGAAAATAATTTTGAAAGTTGAAATTGTGTTTGGACATATATTTTATTTGAATAGAAGCTGAAGTTTTGTGAGTGAAAAAAAAGAATTTCACCCAAAAACTGCCCCAAATCAATATTTGAAACGTGAAATTTTTTTCTTCAAATATTTTTTTCAAAAACTGATCAAGCTACCTAAACAAACAAAGTTTTCAATATTTTTTTTGAAAAATAGTAGCCAAATCTATTCTATAGAAGACGGACTTAGAGGGTTAATTCGACATATCATTTTGATGTAATGTAATGCGAGAAAATATACTCCCTCCCTCTGTTTTAATCTAAGTGAACTTATTTGACAAGACACGAAGTTTAAGAAAAATAAATTTTTTTGACATTTGTGGTAATTGTTTCCAAATTTAGAAAGATGTCATACTTTTTTAAATGGGCAAAAACAAAATATTAGTTCACATAACCTGGACGGAGTAGCAATTAGCAAAACTCACGATCACGGCGCATGTAAAATCAGCTCATGTATGAAACAGTTTTTTTTTTCTTTTTTTTCTCTTTTGGTTCTTTTCTTTCCTTTTTAATCTTATGGGAACTTTCCTCATTGACCACTGTGACAAAGAATTAAAATCTGGAAGATGACTTGAAAGAAATAACACCTACTTACGTAACACTATAGATGCATGTGTAAATAATAAATATTCATTGCTACATATGGCAGGAAAAGGAACTAAAAGATCTTTCAAAAGAAGCAATGTAATCCCAGTCGGTAACAGGGATGCCGAAATTAGCAGGAAGAACTTAGTTTTTATCCTTAATTAGATGCTAAATTTGTACTATTAGACTGAGGTGCATTGTTGATTGAGCAGCTCCTGGAGCTGGACCTATGTCTAGCTCTAGTGTTTTTTTTTGTTTTTTGTTTTTTTTTGTAAATACATCCATTTGTAATAAAAAACTTATCTACCCAAAAAAAAATTTTGGTCGCCGACTCCAGTTCTCAAGTATGATTTTTTTACAATAAATGAATTTTCACAATAACATATTAATAGGGATAACTCAGTGATGACAGCAAAAACTAAGAAGATGATAAATTGAACTTAAAAATTCTGTAACCATTCTTCCAATTTTTAATCATATCATAAAGAAGTATTAATACAATTTATGTCATATCCACGAGTATATAATAAGCTACATATAATTAAACAAACTAAAATCATACTTACTAATTAATGAAATTACACTCATGACCTAGATGAACGAATTCATCAATGTTATTTTGCCACATACAATGTCACCATGCCAATACTAATCTAAGTTTTAAAAAAATATAGTATTAGGGTGAGCCAAGTCGCCTAACAAGTCAGCCAGAAGGGCAAGTCCATGAACCTACTGTTCCTTCACCTGCTGTGCACACATAATTTTCAAAACCCTTCTCAGAATGGAATTCTGATGTAGAAAATGACTGAATCTCATCATTCTGCATGTTGAACAACTTATTCTGTGCTTGTTTTGAAATTCCAATATCAGAAGTGGAAGCATTTGTTATAGCAACCATGCTATTATTTATTGCACCAGATGGTGGCATAAATATTGGAGAATCTTGAACCTTTTGTGTGGACGGCCTTAAAGTAAAAAGATGTCCCAAATTATCCAAATGGCCTGATCTTATGACTGAGGTAGCAGTTGAGAAAAGATCAAGGCGGCGAGTGTAGGCTGAACCAGTAAACGGAGTTGTTGGGATCCCTGTGAATTCTTGAACCATTTGTCGAAAATTTGTAGTGTCAGTTATTAGAACAGTTGTTGGCGCCCGCCTCGATGCCCTGCTTCGTTTCTTAGGATTTTTCCCCACATTAGGCTGATGATCAATGGTTGATTTTATTGGTATTGAATCATAGGATGTACCTTGAGTATTAGTAAGCAGAATAGCATGATTAGTAGCACTTGATGATGAGGAATTTAAGTTTCCAAAGTTGTTAAAATTGTTATCGGATCCCAAGGATTTAGGCCAGATAAGATCATTGTTGTAAAGAGAATTTGCTGAATCTTGGAAATTGGAGTTGAAATTTTGTGAGTCAAAGAGAGTGTGTTGGTGAGAAAGAAATTGTGGGAGTGGATTTGATGAGATTGAACCAAAATGGGCTGAAGAATTCAAGAAAGTTGAGATTGAGCCCCCATGTGAATCATACTCTTCATCACCGCCACTTGAAGATTGTACACTGCCACTATTCCCAGAATCCATGGCTCCTATTAGGAACAAAAAAAAGAAAGAGAGAGTGATGGTTGAAAAGTTTGGAGAAAGAAAAAAGAGATGAGATTCTTAAAAGAGATTGCTCAAGAAAGGAATATGAAAAGTGAACAAAAGAGGAAAACCAAATAACTAAAGTATAAATCCTTATAATATTGAAAGATCTGACGATGATCTACAAAATTAGGAGTCAACTTATCAAACTTGTCATTTGCCACTCATTCCTGGACCACAAGGTTGTTCTCACACAAGATCAGGAAACAACAACAAAAAAAAAACATGTTAGTTTTAAAGTGCAGAGATTTGAGAGTCTTGAATCGACATACATATTTTCTGCATTATCTCTTTCTTTGTAAGCTCTGTGGATTAGGGTTTAGAATGAAAGGGAAGAGAGAAAGGAAAGATAGAGAGAAAAAGGTTGAATATATAAGGCTATGATCGGAAGGGCTCTAAAACAGAAAAAGGAGAAATTAATAAAGGAAGGGGAGGGAGGTTAGTGGGGTCTCCACTGAAAGGAAGGCTCGAGGGTAAGAGTGTGAAAACGAGAGAAATTTGGCCAATTTTTTTTTCGCCAGAAGTGCATTTTTTTTTTAGCTAAAAGCACTTTTAGTAAAAAATTGTGGTGTTTGGCCAAGCTTTTGAAAGGAAAAAAGTACTTTTGAGGAGAAGCAGAAAAAGGTAGTTTCTCTCCAAAAACACTTTTTTGAGAAGCACTTTTGAGAAAAATACGCTTAGAAGCAATTTTTTAAAGTTTGGTCAAACACTAATTGCTGCTCAGAAGTGCTTTTCAAACTAATTAGTCACACACAAACTACTTCTCACCAAAAGTACTTTTGAGAAAAGCACTTTTTAAAAAAAAAGCACTTCTCAAAATAAGCTGATTTTTGCAGCTTGGCCAAACAGGTTATAAATTAGGCTTATATTTGTCTTATTCCTAAGGTAAAGCATGCTCAAACACTTCAACAATATAGACCCATAAGTCTTTGTAATACCACTTACAAAATTATAACAAAAATTATTGTCAATAGGCTTAAACCTATTATCTCTAAAATAATAGGCCCCACACAGACCAGTTTTCAACAAGGCAAACAAGCTTCGGATAATGCTATAATAGTTCAAGAAGCTCTACATCATTTTACAAAAATGAAAGGAAGGACTGCTTATATGCTTCTGAAACTAGACCTAGAAAAGACCTTTGATCGTTTAGAATGGTCTTTCGTTAGGAAAACACTTGTCTTTTTTGGCATACCTACAAAAATGATCAGGCTAATCATGTCATGTGTTACTACGACTTCAACTTCAATACTCATTAATGGCTCATCTACACCTTACTTCACTCCATCAAGAGGAATTCGTCAGGGAGATCCTTTATCACCATACTTATTTATGTGCATGGAGATGTTTTCAAAATGCATAAACCTATCAGTTGATTATTTACAATGGCAACCAATCAATATTGCAAAGAAGGGACTAAAACTCTCACACTTATTCTTTGCAGATGATATTATCTTATTCTCAAAATTAACCACTAAGAGTTGTAATGCGATAATTGATGTCTTAAATCTTTTTACAAGTTGTTCAGGCCAAAAATTAATTTTGACAAATCTAAATTATTATTCTCAAAGAACTGTTCAACTGATGATAAGAATCTGGCTATGGCATGCTTTCAACTCAAAGAAGGTATTAGCTTTGGTAAATATTTGGGTTTCCCAATATTTCAGGAAAGACGGGGAAAAAAAGCGACTTTCAGTTCTTACTTGATAATTTTAAATCTAGATTAGCGGGATGGAAAATTAATTTCTTAACAATGGCTGGAAGAGTTACTCTGATCAAATCTACCCTAAATAATCTACCAAATCATGTAATGCAATACATCCAAATCCCGTCAAACATACTTGCGAAAATGGATCAATATCAATGTAATTTTTTGTGGGGAACAACCGCCACCAAAAGAAATTGCATCTTCTAAACTGGAAGAAAATAACAACACCACGAGAAATAGGAGCTCTGGGAATTCAAAAGTTAAGACAAAAGAATAATGCTTTACTAGCAAGTCTAGCATGAAGAGTATTCCATTCTCCTCAATAACTCTGGGCTAATCTGTTAATTAATAAATACATTCATCGGACTCCTTCTTCATACTTCTCCACAACTTGGCACAGTATATTACAAGGTTGGACAAGTTGCCAAATTGGATTAAAATGGAAAATTGGAACAAGTAAAAATATAAATTTTTGGCACGAGGATTAAAAATGAATTAACTCTTCGTACATTAATTAATGGACCATTATCTTACCAACATCAACAAATGAACATTCACACAATTTTTAATGAGGGTTGAAAATGGGATCTTTTACCATTTGAACTACCTTAGGATATCCAAAACCTTATAATAAATCAATACATTTCTAGGTATAGTAAAAAGAATGATAGCATTTACTGGGCATTAACTCCCAATGGAAAATTTACGGTCAATTTTATGTATAAAGCCCTATAAGATACTTCTAATAATAATCAAAATATAATACCAACATTCTGTTGGATGTGGAAGCTACCAATACATCCAAAAATTAGATATTCCATTTGGCTTTTAAATCATAATAGACTACCCACATTTCAATTTCTTCATCATCTCAACACTATTTTAAACCCAGAATGCCAATATTGTTATAAGGCTGAAGAATCAACGACTCATATTTTTCTAAAGTGTGAAAATGCTATAACCTATTAGAATGAATTAGGAATGGGAGGATATGTCAACACCCTTACTAACATGAATATGCCACATGAATGGCTTCCTAAATTAATAAGGTACAGAGAAAAAAAATTCCCTCATAATATTAATTCTCACACCTATGTGTCTTTAAGCCTTTGGAATATTTGGACAACTAGAAATAAAAATATTTATGAGCACTTTTACGAACATGTTAGTGTCAACTTTGCTACTCAGCAGGCTACTAAATTTTGCTATCTTACGTCTTCTAATCATAAAATACAAAGGCATGTAAGAACACCTTTAAAATGGATACCTCCCAAGCCTGATATTTACAAACTAAACACGGATGGAGCACATTCATCATCTCAGAAAAAGAATGGCATTGGTGGAGTAATTCGAAATCATAATGGAGACTGGATTATAGGTTTTTCGGGCAACATTCTATCACAATCTATTATTACAACTGAGATATATGCATTGTTATAGGGAATTACTTTGGCTATGCTTCATAATCTAATACCAATTCAAGTGAAAATTGATGCCAAATAGGTAATTATAATACTATGTAGTGATAACTTAACGTTTGCTAATCTATCACATGATTGCAGGCACCTACTAGGGATTAGGGGTGGGCATCGGTCGGTTCGGTTCGGTTTTGAATATTATCGGTTTTGCCTATCGGTTATCGGTTTACAAATATCATAACCCGATAACCAAACCGATAAGATATTGGTTATCGGTTATCGGTTAATCGGTTATATATCGTTATCGATTCGGTTATCGGTTTACCCGATAACATAAAATAACTAAAAAAATTTGCAATATATAAAACAAAGAAATCAAACTGCCAGAACGTGTAAACTGCCAACTTTTGTTGTTTCTTAACAAAAGCACGCTCCCACTTCTGTGCAGTATCTACTGATGTCTGGAGGAGAACTGGTGGTGAGTCTTGCGTCTTGACTCTTGGGGGCTGCGACGGAAACAAGAATGAGAACTGAGAGACAAACGACTGAAGACTGAAGAGTAAAGAGGGAATTAGGAAAATAAATAATCCTAGTATATACTTAAGGGTAAATTAGTAAATTACATCATTCTTATTGGGTTATCGGTTTTTACCCAATAACAAAAATGCAAACCGAGCCCGAACCGATAACCCAATAAAAAAAAATTTAACCCGTTACCGAACCGTTAACCCAATACCGATAACCCAATAAAGAATTAACGGTTCGGGTTATCGGTTTTACCCGATTTACGCCCACCCTTACTAGGGATGCTCCATGATCCGTAACTTACACATGCATACAGAGAACAAAATAGATTAGCAGACAAATTAACAAGTTTGGGAAGTCTTTTGGAAGGAACTAATGAAGTAGAAGTCTTGCACCATCCACCACCTTTTGTTGAACAAATTTTGGAATATGACAAGCTAGGACTGCCAAGGTTCCGCTCAATTCCACAGAATGTAGATGATGGTCAAGATCAAACAACTACAATACATGGAACGAACCCCTATAGTCTGACTTCAAGTTGTATTGGAGGGTTAAGCAGGGATAGATCTACTCCTAGTATTTGTAATATAATATTTGCTACTGCTCCTAACTTACTTGGCTCTATGCCTAGTGCTACTACAAGTAACTTGGTTTGTAATATGGTGCAATATACGCACCAGCTACTCTGTACGCATGTTTAGTTATATATAATATCTACCTTTAGTACCAAAAAAAAGAGGAATGTTGTAAACCTATTTTTAAATGTGTATTCATCCATGATGTAAATAACCTTTCACTACTCATCACTATTATGATGGTAACTTCCATACTTTCATAACCACTCCCTGTGATCTTTCCCCATGATCTCAATTATTAATGTCATATTTAAGACAATCATTTTATAACCTTCTATAGAATAGTAGAAACAGAGGCATGAAATGTGATATGGGATACACTTGTTCTATTACTTATCTTATTCTATTACTTATCTTCTTATTTCGTAATATTACTTTGAACTACATTTCTTAATACATTATCAACACGAATTCTCTAACTTCGAGATTGAATTCCACTTGCAAGATATTTACTCAATTAGCATTATGTATTGTCTCGTAAAAGGGAAAGATGACAATTATACTGAGTGCATTCTTAATGCCTAAATGTGTTTAGTTTATAAACATAATACTAAGTTGTACCTGGACACATACAATTATCTATTGCATGTTTGATGCCAATAGTTCACATGATTGTCAGATTGATTAGAAATATTTTTTTCCTACTATTTTAATAGTCTATCAAATGACTTCCTGTTTTTCTCTATCAAATCTTTGCATTCTTTCCTTACGACTAATGGCTTTCGAAAAAAAAAAATACGTTCTTGTTTATTTTGAAAAACTATTACCACTTTTTATATGCATGTACAAGTTAGACTAGGTAATCTTGTTAGTTCATATAAACACTAATATTTATATTTTATTATTATGGCATAATTGATTCGTGTATTTTTATGATGATTAACTGGTCAATTGATGTTATTATTTTTACGGGATTATGATCAGATTGACCATTTTTGAAAATATCTTCGTTTATTTTTTTTTTACTATTTCTAATTCACTTATTTTCTTTGATAGTTTTTACTATGTCGAATTTATCAAAGCTTGAGTTTCTGGTACTTGACATTTTTGGAAAGATTTACCTATCATATGTTCTCGATGTTGAGAT